CCAATAGAGCCCCAAAAGATTAAAAGAAAACTCAAAAATGTCAAAAATCTATAAGAAAGTTCACCAAATACCAGAAGTCTACAGAAGAGTTTAACAAAATGCTAAAAGACCCAAAAAATGCTGAAAGACCAAAAAAAAGTTCACAAGAAAGTTCACTAACAAATTGTCAAAAGAGCAAAAGAAAGTCTATGAGAAAGTTCACCAAGTGATTTCAGAAGACTAGTAAAAGTTTACAAAAAAAAAAAAATGTAAACAATAAAATAAAATAAAAATTCAGAAAAAGAAACAGTATTTATATATCATATATTCACTAGTAAAAATAATAATTTTCTATTTCAGGTACTATCCATGTTAGATATTAGATAAACTGATTCCTGATTCAACATTGATATGCTAGTAGAAGATATATCACTATAGTGATAATGTTTACTTATTTTTTATGAGTATTGTAGACATTACAAAATTTGTCATATATAAAAATCCAAATATCGAAATTATAATTTTAAGTTTAAAGTAGGAACTATTTTTGTAATGCTTGGTTTATATATATCTACTGATGAAGATATTATTTCTTTAATTAGCAACTAAGCTATTTACTTAACTAATTTCTCTTCCAGAATGTAAACAGTAAACCTTTTGCTAATATCCTTAAGTAAATATAGTAGCTAATACTTTGTATTAGTAGATAATTGTACGCTGATTATAGTGGAACTCTAACCAGAAATATGCACTAATGCTTAGAGCTATAAGTACTTTCGTATAAGTTTTTATATAAATCCTTTGTGAGTAAGTATAGTTGTTAATATCTTTGTAATCGTATTATTTGTATTCTAATCATGATGAAATTCTAACCAGAAGTACTACTATTACTTAGCAGCTATAAGAACTCTCAAGTTAGTACTTAAAATCCAAATATAGTAAAATCTTTATAATTGCTACTTATATAATTATATGAAATATGACTATACCTTTGTCTTAAATTATTTTAGCCATATTTTTTTTTAAGAATTTAAAATTAGTTAAGAAAGAGTCCTTTGGTATTTAAAGTAATGATTATGTTATAATAATAAAACTAGTACTATATATTACTATCAAATATATAAAAAAAAATTTATTCTGGCCAAAGTGAAAGCTAAAATCAAGAGAGTAGTTAGAAATTGAAAATGGGTTTTTATAGTTTATTTTGTTTATTTGTTTATTTCTTGTTTGTTATACAAAATTATATTAATAAAATAAATAATATGTGAAATACATGAAAATATATACAAATGATTTAACCAATCTGATCGCAATTTTTATTCCATCTATTAATCTAATCATTTGTTTTCTTCATTTGCTAAATATGAATTTTTATTGATTAATAGTATTCATATAGATTATTGTAAAACTATACTTTGTTCTTATCCAAAATAAGCACTTCAGAATTTTTTCTGATTATTCTAATAGGTTTTGTATGCAAATTTGTGATTAAAAATCTCTTCTGTTTCTAATTTACTCAACTAATTTAAATCTTTTAATCTATTTAAAAGAAACTATCAATTATTTCTATTATGAATTTTTGAGAGTTTATAAAAATATGGTAGTCACTTCTTTACTATTTGATGATGATTGTACTTTTTTGAACAGAATTTGATATAAAAGATTTATATTATTAGCAAAGGAATTAAATCTGAATAGTTTGAGAACAAAGGTATATCAAGCAATCACTACAATTTTAAAAAGATTTCATAAGGTGCAATTTTACAAAAAATATTGCAGTAATATGATTTCAGATATATTATATAGTTTAATCTGATTAGTATACAAACAAAAATTTAATATTAAAATGAAAAGATATTCTATTTTTTATTAACTCTATTGTTACTAATAAAATAATAAATATTTTCACAACAAAAAAATTTAATAACAATCAAGTGTGATATCTAAAATTATTAGAAGTTTGTTTTTAAAGAACAAAAAAAGGTACTCTATTTTTAGTCATTATAACTAATAATTACATATAGGTTTTTTGTCTTGAAAATGACTTTGCAGGATATAATAATAATTTAATCTATAATAATATTAATATTTTAAGAGAGACGATCTTTCAAAATTAGAAGAAGAAATGTTAACTGTCCTTTAAACCTTAGACAGGCTTAAAACAAATATAAGTTTAGTCAAAAACGAAATTATAAATATTGTTAATATATTTTATACTACCCAAAGTAATAGTAGCCAAGATTTAGTTTCTACCAATACCTTATCTCATCCGCCCCAGAAGAGGATGAAACTAGTATCATCAATGACTTATATACTGGCAGCCAGGATGAGTCATTGAATAAAAGCAATGTAGAGCTAATTACTAGTGTTATTGATAACTTATATACTAGCAACCAGAATATATCATCAAATTCAGAATGATATATCATCAAATCAAGATGATTTAAAACCATTGAATAAAGACAATACTATTTGAATATTCTAATAATGATCATGATTCCCATTATATCTAAAGTTATCATCAGAAAAGATACTATGATAGAACTTATATTGGTCCTTGCATTGTGATTCAAACAAAAATTAATATAAATGAAGCCAACAAAGAAGTAAGTAGACTCAAGTAAATGGGATTTAAAAAATATAGTTATATACTGTAATTTTTGACAAATAGCACCTAATCTCAGAATTAATAATTACTCCAGTACTGCTCAAATTAATGAACACCTAAAATAGATATTATAATTTACTTGGGGGTCACAAATATTACATAGTATAATTTTAATAGTAGCTAACTTTTCTTTCATATAAGAGATCTATAATCCTTTTTCTCTAAGAATATTACTTAATACTCACGATCTCTTATATAATTATTATCTCTAAAATGCATACAATTGTGTAAAATAAGATAATTTAAAGGGTATAATACTAAAAGTTTTCAATAAGAAGTACTAAAATATTTGCAGAAAATTACAGTAGTATTTTGTAAACATAGTATGTCATAATTAATTTTATATTTATAAGCAATATGTTTTGAAGATAAGATGCATATTTCTGACAATGAAGAAGAAAGAAATATTAACACGAAGTATTAATAAAGATCAAATATACTGAAATTTAGAAAAGTTATTAAATATTTAGAAAAACTCATGTTATCAGAACAGTATATTCAAATTACTAATGCAATAGAGCAGTTAGTAACAATACTAGAATTCTCAGATTTGCCAGATTTTAGATCTGTTTTCAATCATAAAGGCATATAAAGATTTATTATTGCCACTAACAACTTGTTTACCAGAATGACTCCAATTGTTGATGATAATTCTACAAGTGCTGCTATTATAGCTTTGGAACAAAAGCTTGAATCAAGCAAAACTATTCTCAAGATTACTGATATTATATAATTAGAGGCAGCATATATATATACATATATATATTGTGAATATACGAAATTTGCTTTTACTACTGTATTTACAATCAGTCAAAAAATAAATACAAATTAATTCTAAACTATATTGTTGACAGAATACAAAGACCTAGTTTAGAAGCACAAAAAAATATGAATATTGCTTGTGATGCGCTACAATATTTTTAAGATACTTATTGCTATATATTGATTTGAAAATACTTTTTCAGAGTGGTATTACAATAACGCATTTTAGTAATGCAGAAACTATAGAATAAAAATCGTTTATTGCAGAAGTTTTTTCAATTAGGGCTACAGAATGTATGATGAAGTAGATTAGGATAATTAGAGATAGGTTAATCCTTGATATTTTTTTACAAAGCACTAAATTCTACCATGATGATGATAAACATAATAGTGTAGAACTACCTAACAGCATTGAAGATACAATTTAATAGACAGTATATGATTATTATTATTACATTATTAATTATATTATTACTGCAATATTGTATGATATATATAATAGTTAAATTTATATATTAATAATCATCATTTGGACATTAGCATTATTACTTGAATTTCTGTTGAAAAAATTTTTTTTAGTTTAAACCATATGATAAAATAAATAGCTTTGATTGTTGGTTGATTATTGTCCAAAGTGTTAGGTATCTAATATACAGTACTATATAAATTATATGTATAGTCTTATATAAAAATTACTAGTGCAATTTTCATATAACCAATATGATAATCTATATAAAATATTATAATTTTGACAAACTTTTATTAAATTAAGATTTTTTAAAAAAAACTTAAAAAAATCGCTCTTTTTTTATTAAAATATAAATGTGTTAAACTATTTGGTAAAATTTTTAGATAAGTTAATATGTGAAATTTTGAGGAGATACAATTTGAAATTCAATAATTTTTATAATTTTTTAATATTATGATATTAAAATTCAAATTATATCTCTTCAAAACTTTACATATTAACTTATCTAGAAATGTTACTAAATTGTTTAGTACACTCATATTTTAATAAAAAAGAATAAATTTTTTAAAAAAATTTTATTAAAAATTTATTTAATTTATAAGATTTATATTACAATATTAATGATTTTTGCTCAGTTATACAAATCTTTATATATGCATAACCAATATATAAATTAAATTAAAGTTAGTGATTTATTTATTATTCTTAATCTAAACACACAAAACTTGTTGAGCAAATATTCAAACCAATCAAAAATTTAATAATATTAAATATATAGTATAATGGTAAAATTTTCTGACTATTTTTAAGAGAATTATAAGTGAAAAGATAAACCTTAGTCAGTAATAATTAATCTAGAATTTAATAGAAAGTATTAGTTTAATTTACTTTTATTATTATAAAAATTTTTTATATTTGTTTTTAGATAGATCAAGTATTATGTATAATATATATTTATATAGTGATCATATCAAATATCAATAAAAATAGCTATAAAATAATATTTTTGGGAAACTTGATAGTTGAATTCTACTAGAAGATTGATGGCTTTTGGGATTTCAATTTTAAAATTATGTATAACAAGCAAGTAAGTAGTCTAATAATTAGAAAAGCTAATTTATAAAAGGTTAATTCTTGAATAAAAGTTTTCTAATTTTTGCTAGAAGCATTTATTAATACAATTGTATATTTGCACAAAAGCAAAATTGCACTGCTTGCTAAGT